CACAATTGAAATAAACCAAAAGGCTTGTATATATACATAAGTATATGCCAGAACCAAATAAAAGAAACGGAGAGTGAGAAAATGCGTTAGAATATTTCAAAAAAAAAAACGGAATCGATAAAAATCCAATAACCATAATATGGTGCTTATTGCTTATGATCCTTATTTCCTTCTTATTCCTTCTCATTTTTATTGGCACATTGAAAGGCAGGCTTGTGGTAAAAGAGACGGGAAATGAATTTTGGAGCTGAATATAAAATGGAAGCGATTTGGAAGTTGTGAATGAAGTTTTTGATGATTAGAGCGTATTTTTGAATTTCGTAACGAAGTTTTGAAATTTGAATTTTGTAACGAACTTTTAAAATTTAAATATTGTAACGAACTTTTGAAATTTGAGTTCAAGTTTTGTTTACTGGTTTTTTAAACCTTTTCTTTTCTAACGGTTTTTGAAGATTGCATCCTTAGTTTTCTTTGTAAATCTTTAGCAGAACTGCCAACAAGACAAAACAAACCCCCAAAATCAACTTAGAATCTCGTTTAAATAGCATGAAAAATTGTTTTATTTATTTCAATCCTCCATATCGCTCTATATACTTAAAAGCATATGAATTTATGCCTTAAACGCCATTTAACTTACTTATGGATTCTTTTTCAAAGAGAGAAAAAAAATATGGAAATGCTTATCCGTAGGGGAGGAAATGTTGCATAATTTATGAAAATTTTATCGTCTCTCGGTTTTCCCAACTTTGAATATAAACAATTTTTGATGGATGGTAAGTGGGCGGCTTATTGGCATAACACTTAAATTTTTACTGCCTCACTGCCAAAAAAATGGTTTCTAAAATATAATTTTTTTTTATGAAGCCATAGATATAATGGATATGGAAGTCACGGCATATGAATAGAAATTAAATACCATTATGTGTTTATAGCGTCATGCACCGGCGACCAAGACATTTTTTTGGAGGTACCTAAAAGCCATTGTGTATCTTCAATCATTCATATTCATCATAGAAAAATAATTCTTCTATTTTGTGACTATAATTAAACATTCTCACATGATTCCATTTCCATTTCCATTCATCATATAGACGATAAATAATTGCAATTCTTTCCGCAACGTTGAGAAATGGAAAACAAAAAAAGACAAGAAATTATTTTATTTTAAAAATATCTTTTTTTTGACAATTGTCGAAACATAAACACATTCAAGCAACTCGACAATTTCTCGCATCGCATCGTCTTAATGATCGCAACTTATCTTTTCGACTCTTTGTGTACTTACTTATGTGTAATGATTTTTTTATACATTTTTTTGTGGATGGTTAATTATGATTTTTTTTGATAATATTTTTTGTTGAATTTTAAATTTTTTGTTCTAATTTTTTTCAATTTGAGTTTTTAAGATTTAATAAAAAAAACTAAAATAAGCCAATCACTTTACCTTACCCCGGACTTGCCACTACCTTTACCCTAGCACCAAATAGTTTACACCGTATATTAACTTATACCTAACCCTATCCCTTACCCTATCCCTTACCCTATCCCTTACCCTATCCCTTACCCTATCCCTTACCCTATCCCTTACCCTATCCCTTACCCTATCCCTTACCCTATCCCTTACCCTATCCCTTACCCTATCCCTTACCCTATCCCTTACCCTATCCCTTACCCTATCCCTTACCCTATCCCTTACCCTATCCCTTACCCTATCCCTTACCCTATCCCTTACCCTATCCCTTACCCTATCCCTTACCCTATCCCTTACCCTATCCCTTACCCTATCCCTTACCCTATCCCTTACCCTATCCCTTACCCTATCCCTTACCCTATCCCTTACCCTATCCCTTACCCTATCCCTTACCCTATCCCTTACCCTATCCCTTACCCTATCCCTTACCCTATCCCTTACCCTATCCCTTACCCTATCCCTTACCCTGTCCCTTACCCTATCCCTTACCCTATCCCTTACCCTATCCCTTACCCTATCCCTTACCCTATCCCTTACCCTATCCCTTACCCTATCCCTTACCCTATCCCTTACCCTATCCCTTACCCTATCCCTTACCCTATCCCTTACCCTATCCCTTACCCTATCCCTTACCCTATCCCTTACCCTATCCCTTACCCTATCCCTTACCCTATCCCTTACCCTATCCCTTACCCTATCCCTTACCCTATCCCTTACCCTATCCCTTACCCTATCCCTTACCCTATCCCTTACCCTATCCCTTACCCTATCCCTTACCCTATCCCTTACCCTATCCCTTACCCTATCCCTTACCCTATCCCTTACCCTATCCCTTACCCTATCCCTTACCCTATCCCTTACCCTATCCCTTACCCTATCCCTTACCCTATCCCTTACCCTATCCCTTACCCTATCCCTTACCCTATCCCTTACCCTATCCCTTACCCTATCCCTTACCCTATCCCTTACCCTATCCCTTACCCTATCCCTTACCCTATCCCTTACCCTATCCCTTACCCTATCCCTTACCCTATCCCTTACCCTATCCCTTACCCTATCCCTTACCCTATCCCTTACCCTATCCCTTACCCTATCCCTTACCCTATCCCTTACCCTATCCCTTACCCTATCCCTTACCCTATCCCTTACCCTATCCCTTACCCTATCCCTTACCCTATCCCTTACCCTATCCCTTACCCTATCCCTTACCCTATCCCTTACCCTATCCCTTACCCTATCCCTTACCCTATCCCTTACCCTATCCCTTACCCTATCCCTTACCCTATCCCTTACCCTATCCCTTACCCTATCCCTTACCCTATCCCTTACCCTATCCCTTACCCTATCCCTTACCCTATCCCTTACCCTATCCCTTACCCTATCCCTTACCCTATCCCTTACCCTATCCCTTACCCTATCCCTTACCCTATCCCTTACCCTATCCCTTACCCTATCCCTTACCCTATCCCTTACCCTATCCCTTACCCTATCCCTTACCCTATCCCTTACCCTATCCCTTACCCTATCCCTTACCCTATCCCTTACCCTATCCCTTACCCTATCCCTTACCCTATCCCTTACCCTATCCCTTACCCTATCCCTTACCCTATCCCTTACCCTATCCCTTACCCTATCCCTTACCCTATCCCTTACCCTGTCCCTTACCCTATCCCTTACCCTATCCCTTACCCTATCCCTTACCCTATCCCTTACCCTATCCCTTACCCTATCCCTTACCCTATCCCTTACCCTATCCCTTACCCTATCCCTTACCCTATCCCTTACCCTATCCCTTACCCTATCCCTTACCCTATCCCTTACCCTGTCCCTTACCCTATCCCTTACCCTGTCCCTTACCCTATCCCTTACCCTATCCCTTACCCTATCCCTTACCCAAATTTCAATCAAGTTACTCAAATTTCATCTTAATTATGTTGTGCCAACAATTGAACAGTCAAAAAGTATCAATTGCAACTACCTAAAACCATAAGATCACAATTAATCCACAAACTTTAACAACCGCAATCCATCGATCATGCAAAATAAAGAAGATGTGAGCTTATGTCAACTTATGAAGACACCACCGTTAACATGTTACTTTGTAAAAATATTTACTTCACATTCCATTCCCCCTTTTACCATAAAATAACTTCCATATCTTTATTCACTACTTCAACCAATTCATCATTTTCATATGACTTTTAAATTTAACGATGCGTCTCTTTGTTTTAATTCCGCTTTCATGTGTAGCTTGATATAAGCTTCTGTGCATGTGTATATGAATGAAAACAAATATATTGTGTGCATGATGCTTTTGTGCACCTTGAATGTATCCAAAATATAAATAAATAAATATAAAGTCAAAGACATTGTTGTGTAGAATATTGCTGAGCAGGGATGGAGCAGGCAGTATCTATGGCTACTCAAGGCAATCTATTCTAGTCATACATAAGTTGCCTCGATAAAATCAAGAAACCTGCAGCAATGAAAACAAGGATTTGCACCCCAAAAAACCCCTAGCTACACCCCTGCATCTAAAAAGTAAATGATGAATGAAGACCTTATCATTATTAGCACGAAACAATGATGGATAAATTGACACATATCTCATTATTTAATATGATTCGGCATACAGTCACAAAGGCGCCGGGCTGTTGAGATGAGCCACGAATATGCCCTCAAAGAAATGCAATTAATTTCATTATTTCATCATTTTTGATTCCGAATGTCAAATGAAATGTCACGCAAGGCTCTCTTTTTCCTGTTCTGTCCGGCTATGCACCTTTCCGAAAATTGACCCATGATCACTTTTTATTTATTTTATATCCAAAAAGTCTTTTAAATGTTTTTTATGATGATGAGTGTCTTAACAACATTGCAAAATGAAAATTAATTGATGGAAATAAATTTTATGGCAGAATGACTTTCATTTATGCACCTTTTGTTGTTATTGCCTCTTACATTGTATGCAAGCTTCTATCTTAATGTGATTCAATCAATTTTTCGTTTGAATATTAAGCGAAAATGCTGTATAAGAATCATCAGCAGGAGCTAAAAGTTTATCTCGGTTTGCTTTAGTTATAATACATAAAATGTCCATTAACGTGTGTTTGGGAGTGTATTGGCAATTGAATGACCATAAATTGCAACTGCATTTAATTTTTATTGTGCTGTTGATTTTGAAATTTTAATGGGGTTTTGTAAGATGGGAAGACAGGGAACCAGGTGGAGCTCGAAGGTGGTCTGGAATGTTCTGAAAAGCCTTCGGTCTACTTCCGTATTTCTGAAGACGATAGTTTTAAATCAAAACTATTTTTCTTTAAAAAAATCTCAAAATATTGCAATTTCTACTAAAGAATTAAATTGTTTTGGAATCACAAATATATCCACAACCTCTTTGGTACCTGACGAATCTAAACTTTATTTTAAGTTATTGTAAATAAGATCATTCAAATTTGAATGCTTTTTGAGAATTTAATTTTAGTATTTAAGATTCAAAACTTGTGGTAAGCAATTATAAACTGTTTAAAAGTCTAATAGAAACAACATCCAAGTTATACTAAAGCTACAAATCAAAATATTCAAACTCAACAAAATCAAAACTCAACAAAATCAAAACTCAACAAAATCAAGACTCAACAAAATCAAGACTCAACAAAATCAAAATCCAAACTTAAATAAGTCAAACAATGGATTATCCACGATTCTACACAATCATCCAATTTCCAGCACTCAAGCTACAGGATCTGTTCTTCATATTTCAAGATATCGAAGAACAAGATGGTGATTTATCAAAGATTATCATCCTTACATCCACGGATGAAGTAGCAAAAACACTGACTTATGAACTAAATAAAAGACACATTAGTGTCTCTCTTGTTACTGGAAGTAGGAAAGAAAGGAAAAATAGACGAGCTGCTGATGGATATAGTGAAGGGAAGTTCGATGTTCTAATTGTAAGTTCTTCACGGATTAGCGTTGAAACTGGTGAAGTTGCTCATTTTATCAATTATGACATTGAGGACTTGGGTCCTGATAGTTTATTTATTAATAAAGCAAAACTGAGACAGCGAGGTTAAAAATAAGATCTTTAACAAAGATCATTAAATATAAATAAAATATATATTGAAAAATCAAATAAGACTTGTTTTTAATAATTTTACTATTTTTTGGTAGCTAGCAGAACTAGGTTATTTGCAAACAACTGATTTGACTTAGACTTGAAACCTTAAAAACTAAAAGCAAAGAACCTAAAACTTTGCCCAAACTTAGCCCATACATTACAACCTAATCCCCCACAGCCCAACTCTACTTCTTCAGAACTTATCTAGCTCCACTTTCAGAGTGTTTATTTTAATGACTTATAAAGTTTTCAATAACAATTTCAATTTACATTTATCTCATCGTTCGTGATTGGTATTGATTTGCTTTATGTTCTTTACAAGCATTTATGCTAATTTAATTAATTTAAATCAATAAGAATTTTATTTAAATTTATGTAAGATAAAGCATTAAGGTAGGAAAGAAGGTATTGTGAAAAATTGAGATTTAATTTCTGTGGTTGGAGATTTCGAATGATTTGAGACTATTTTGGAAGGGTTTGAGAGATCCAGTTGAGATTTGTTGAATTTATGTCAGTGAATGATTATTTTGGCTACGTATGATCCAGGATATAGTAATGCAATGAGCCTGGCAAGTCAGTGTAGTTGGGATCACACAAATCAAATTGCAAAGCTTAAACGACGAAAAAGGACCCAAATTCTTTTAGACATTGTCTGGGTTTCAAAACAAGGTCGTTAGAGTCAGTTGACCAACATTCTTACTTCTTCATCAGTACTGCTTTGCTGCTTCTAGAATATAAATAAAAAATAAATTTTAGCATTCAGACCTTAAGATCCATAGCTGCACGTTATATGTGTTACAAGGCGAATTAATGATAGTTTAACGAAGGAGGGTTCGCAAGACCTCCCACTCAAACTTAAACTTACAGTTTCTAGTAGAACCCGAACCACTTCTCTGATGACATTTCTGCCTGTATGAAGGCTGTGAGCCTCATTTCCAGCATATATGATTCGAAAAAGGACATGTGCAGGGTGGTTAAAAATAGAATCTGGTGTGTTTTGAAAATATGTGCACACATAAATATGTGCGGATATGTGTGTAAATGTGTGGATATCCACACATATCCACACATTTTCGTGTGTGCACATGTAAAATATGTTGGATATGTGCACACATTCTGGACAACAGAATATGTTTTAACAACCCTGGACATGTGAAAATTTTACCATGCCGAGTCTCGAACCCATGATCGCTGTGTCAGTATTGAAATAATTACTTCCGAACTCCTAAACCATCCCTCCATCGAGCCAATTCAGCTTCTAGAATACACAACAACAAAAGTAGTTCATCAAGTCTCACAAATATATCTCAAAACTATGCACACGTCCATCTCATCTTATAAAACACAAATTCCACTTAAAAATAAGACAATAAACTTTTAATCACTTACAAAAGATTTAAATTTAAATCCCATAAAAAGTTTCGATTAGAGGACATAAATCAAAATCAATAGTGCATCGACTCGTTCCAACAAACAAAAATTTACATCCAAATATCATTTATCATTTCGAGAAAAATCACACATTTGGGTAAAGAAAAAATTATAGCTGAACATCATTTTATTTTTTATTTATTTATTTCTTCAATAAATTTTATTGACTCATCGAGCTGCTTTTTGGATCGGTTTTGTTTCTGTTTTTATTATTATCGCTCACACCTCGATGTCGATTTATAGTCAACGGTTGTTGCTTATTCAGTTTTCGCTATGGCAGACATCCTTAATGCTTTTGACAAATTGTAAACTCTTTTCAGAAAAATTGAACTTGAACAGAAACGCATGCTTACTGTCAGTTAGCGAAGTGATTAAGGTGATTAATATTGTGAGACGATAGAATCGCGAATTTAAGGATAAATTGCTTTTTGACATGAATTAAGTTCAATTATTGTGCATGCCTTGGATTTAAATTAATCTCGAGATTAATCCACAGACACATCCAGCTTGTTAAAAATTCCAATAAGTGCTACCAATTTTATTTTTGTCGATAAAAATCTCTTGCTGAATTGCTAATTAATTAATTAATTTTTATGTTGATCTACAAAGACCACCGAGGCTGTGGCTGAATAACAAAACTGATTCTCATATCGATTGCATGCCACATTGCGCCTCGTGTTCAAAGTTGCATAAAAATGCGAATCATGTTCAACTTAAAATTGCATAAATTTAATTAAACTTCCACTTCCAATTAAGACACCGGCATGGCATCAAAGAATTTTCATTTAGCTAGATTTTACTTACTTTGGTGGTGGGATATACAAAAAAAAAAAAAAATAAGGAGCGAATGAATGAATCTGATTGAACAAGCTTATTTGGGAACATGAACTGATGCTGAGGATTTGGGGGAGGTTATGAAGCACAATGTCCAATTATGTGTCTGGTTTACCATAACTTTAGTCTTGCTAAAGCTCCAAGGATATCCGGACGTTAGTGTCTAGTGCTGTGCAGAGTAATCTCCACAATAACCAAAGTACCATGCTCCGGGATGTAAACAAAATCTATTCTACATTGTCTGAGATCAAAGGATATCCAAAGGTCTGTGTTTTGGATATACACAAGGATATATCCGAGAGGATCCGCCAAAAACTCACTCAACAGCAAATCGAGACTACGGCATTGACAATCTTAACGAACAAATCCTAATACTGCGCCCTAATGCCTGCACAAATCCACAACTTTCCAACTCAATTTCATTCTTTTAGTGCCATGCGATAAAGCATTAAATAATCACCTCGTTAAAATTAAAAACCTCATGTTGCCTGCGCTGTTTTTTTCTTCATCTTCTATTGCCAATGAACGTCTTGTGCTCTTCCGTTTGTATCCCTACAAAATATATATCGGGCTATGCCACCAAGAGTCTCATAGAAGACGAAGAAAAGAAAGGAGAGAGAAGAAAAAAAAGGTCGAATCATGTTACCGAGAGTGTTTTTGTTAATGGACAATTTGTGTCATTTTCTTATCGGACGAGAATTGGATATACAAAAGAAAATTCACTTCTTTTACTTCTACTCGTTTGCATGTGCAGTGCTTTGAATGATTTTGAAAGATATTTTTTGCTCGGTTCATTAATAAAAAAAATTCTGAATGGGATTGCTGATTTGATGTTTACTTACTTCCTGCTGATTGTTTGAGGTTTGATGAAGTATTTGTTTGTCAAAGTTGTAGCTTTATCAAACCAGTGACGTTTAGGAAGACTAAAGGATGATATTATGATTGAGTTTTAGTGAGGACTCTTGTGGCATGAACCTGCATGAACTAGTCTATGGAAAATGCAGACTATATCTTTAAACTAGATCAATCTTATCAAAATAGAACATTAAGCTACCTTACCTATTCCCAGGGCCCGATTTCTCCGCTACTGGTACGGTACGGTATCGTAAAATTAGGTACGATATAGGCACACCATAGTACGGAATGTGGTACATCTGGGATGGTACAGTGGTACAACCTATACCGTACTGGTGTACCAAGTATCGTACCAGAGGTACCTGACCTTATCGTACCATACCGTATCGTTCTAGTAGCGGAGAAGTCGAACTTGCCTAGACCTGGTAAACTTCATATAATATTGGCAAGTCACTCCAGGACAGAGCTTGCCGGATTCCAATCAACTTCTCTTTTTAATTGTGCTGCTTGGCCTAGCCAATTTACAATTTTTACAACAGCTGAAATGCACTTCTAGCTATGAGTCATCCTTTCTAAAGAAACACCGAAATAAATTCTCATCCCTTTCCTATAAACCTCAATTTATATTCCAGACACCTCCAAAAGGTTAAAAATATTTATATCTAAACTTTATTTCTCGTCATTTAACATTGAGATAACAAAACTGAATTGAGACAAGTCACAAATCCTCAAATTAATTCGTTGATGACTCACATGGAATGGAATTTGAAGAATTTTCTAGTCGTCTAGATGAAATGAGACCAAAAAGAATTTGATCATCAAAAGGTGGTCAAATTAATTAGGTGATAAAATGACAGGCAATAACACGAGATTGAACATTTTTATTTTTGATGAGCCTTTCGGTGAAGACTTTGAATTTGGGAGAGAAAAATAAAATTTTATCGGAGTTACTTGATAATTTGTTTGTTGGGGATGATGGAATAATTTCTCATGACTTTTAAGGCTGGCCTTTGAGACCTCTGAAGTGTTTTTAAAGGTTTCTGTAAATCAAGCTTAATTATTGTTGGAAAAGAATTGTCAATTTAACCTTTAAATGCTGTAGCTTAGTCATATTTATCTACAATTATTTAAAAATATTCAATTATTGTGCTGTCATCATGACGTAAGTTGCTTAGTTTTGGACTTTATGTATTGAAACGAATTACGATGCATAAACCTAAAGTAAATTGAAAAAAAACACAAAAGTTTAAATTGAATTTAATGAAAATGCGATAGACTGTCACACAAGTATCTGTAGTGAGTATCAATGGAATTTTAAAAGCCTCTTTAGACGTTTAATGCTATCGAAAATTACAAGTAATGGGAATTGTTATTAGGAAGTGCATGCAGCGTATCAAGTAACTCTATACTCTATGTCAAGTCTAATGCAAATTGTTAAGCTTTACGCGATACACCTACAATGATGTTGCATCTAGTGTGTTGCAGAGTGTAACCAAATTTTACATAGCGAAGAAAAACCACAAAAAAAGCTCCAGGCTGGCTAGAGGCTTGCACTGATACAAATTTGATTAAATTACCATCAAAAACTTAACACTAGGCAATTCAAAAGAGTACGTCGACGTCCCAAGAACTCTTGGAGAGAAGCTGTTGACAGAGACAGTATTAAACTTGGCAGGGGCGTAGCCAGGAATTTGAAGAGGGGGGGGGGACAAATTTTTTTGTATGGAAAATTTTTTTTGGGGGGGGGGGGGGGGGTTCATAAAAACTCTAGCAAAATGAAGAAATTTCTCAAGATTTGTTCGGTAATTGGCAACCGGTAGCGAGCGATAGAACCAGTTTCAAGCACCATCTAAAGGAGGCCATGAATCAAAATTGATCTATCCGGCCAGAGAAGTAAAGTAAGTAAGTATGTGCTATTATGAATAGTTAAATTAGGACTACTCTACATCATACAGACCAAACTGCAATTTACACAAAACAAGCACTCTACACAGACCTTAACCTGCAAAAAGAACAAAAACAAAATCCATTTAACAATTTTGGGTAATTTCTACTTCAAGATAACAAGCACAAAAGTTATTGCACAGAGAGCTCGAGCATTCATTGTGTATTGTGATGTGTGTTTAAGTTCTCATTTTATCTTTGTCTCTTTCAGTCTTGAACTGTGCCGCATATGTTGTTATCTGTTTTTTAGGATTTT